AGCAGGTTTTATGAGTTTAATACTAGACTTTTCCATGGGTCGTGGCTATGCCAAGGGAACTCTTGATCACTTTTCTCTATGAAACTAAAGAGGATATCTAATCATTCATGCATCATTCGATGCGCCTTGAGAAGCTCTACAACATTTGTTAATAGGAAGCTTAACGAAGCTTGACAGTGGTCTTGGTGTATTAAATACTCGCCACTTAATCCCACAGTGGATCTAAAAATTGTTCGCCACCTTTAGTTTTCATTTATGTCGTCGACCATAACAGCTAGAATAAATTTGGAAAAAGATTTGAACAGCTGAAAGAATTTCCGATCTTCGGTGAAGTACACAGACGTTCCATCAAAACTCCTGAAATAGGGGTCTCTGGAAAACCAAAATCTCAGAAAACCAGGTCCCCGAGTTCAATCTAGAAATCCTTTGCAAATACGTCTGTCATGTACAGCAAACATTTCTGAAGAAAATGAGACGTTTCCCACCTCTCTACGACATTTATTCATGGAGCAGCATTCAATTTATAGAAGGCCCCATAGCAGCAAAACTAACGGATAAACGTGACGATACGCCCATATCAAGCCTATTCACAGATATTGTAGAGCTTTTCAAGAGCTATTTTTCTATACTAAAGACTAGTTGCATCCTCTCTTATCTATGGGAGTAAATTGGCTAAAACATCAACTGTGTTCACTTTTAGGTGTCCATGGGCCCATATTTGACCTCTATAGGATTGAGCCAATGATATGTAGGGTTTGTTTAGTCAGAATATTGTAGAGCTTTCCAAGGGCTATTTTTCTATATCAAGCTTTACCGTAACTTTATATTAGATTTTGAGCAGAATCGTTTTTGTTAAACACCGATATGCTTTATGTACCTCCTCAGAAAAGTTATTTTAAGAAGTCTCCATAATGTTATAATGGTTGATATGGAGTTCAAAGTGTGTAAAATCGTTTTCTCTACAATATGTGATCATAACGAAGTCGAAAAAGCAGTGGGCCAAATGTAGTGGAAAAGCGGGCCCCCTCCTTTGGTCCTAAGCGAAGTAATACCACTGGTAGATTTCGCTAGCTATAAAAAAAGTAAACACATTTAACAACAAGTTATAGGTTTCTGGCAGCTGTGCAAGTCGTTTCTACTTGTAGAGAGTAAAAAAACATCTATTTTCGCTGACTCAATTAATGGTTTACATTTGAGAGACGATAATATGTTTGTTGTCTGTTGTTAAACATTCACATGTCAATTTTCCCGGTTCTACACGCTTTGTTAACCGAATCATTTTGATGACAAAAAAATCTTACATTTGGTAATATGTGATGCAGTTCATTTTGAACTGAACTCTTTCTTTGGTCGGACTACGCTGGTAAGCTACTACCACAAAAAACTGAAGAATGAATGTCTGTTTGTTCTTTCTTTTTAAGTTATAGTCGTATCAGTGGCACGTATTTAACAGGAATATCAATCATTCTTTGTTGTTGTTTTTTTTCTCTTCACCTACTTCACTTACTGCGATGAGTAGTGGAGTATCTCCGTTTCTATTCTTTTTTTCTTCCTTAAAAATTTAAGAAATGAAAAGGATATAGGTCTCATAGAAGCAGGAGAGTGATGGTCTTCTACAGCTAAAGAAAAATGATATTCGCTATTCTATTTCGAGGCTGAAAGGTTGAAAAGAATGTCACGTCGAAAAAGGTTTTCGCGTACCTACTCGAAATCAGGAATTTTAGAGAGAAAAAACGCTCTTTTGTAGGAGAGAGCGGAATATTTCTTTTGATGTTCTCATTTTTATTCCAAAAACACGAACCGCGTTCCTACACTGTATAAATATAAAACACCTCTGTTTAGTTCTCTCCTAGACTTTATTCGCAACTTTTTTATGTTCCTTTTGCTCGTTCAAGTTTCAGTATCAACCGTATATATCCACGTTTCTTACAACTTTGGCCTCTACGGTGGCGGCAGTGAGGCTAGCTTGCGCTTTACTACCTGTCGTTTCTATTCCTCTTAGTAACTTCACTTAGGCTGACTAAGTGTTACTCCTCCCTTTTAATTCGCCTACTCTTTGTCCGTCATATGTGGCCATCTGCTAATATTCACACACTATATTTCTTTCTCATTCGTAAATCACATTTTGAAAAACTATGCTTCAAATTTTCCTTTCATTTCTTTGAAACCCACACCGTTCTTTATTCTTCTTTCGAACATGCGTTTCACATTCATCGTTCTCTGTACCATTGCACTGCTTCTCAGTTTAACGACAGCAGTTCCCATTCATAATCGTCGTACACAACGTGGATTAGTTCCGGATTTAAGTGGTTTAAGTGGTCTATTTAGCGGAACCTTCACACCCGTTTGTCTATTTTCGCCCTGTAATGGTCCATCATTTTTATTCCCTGAAATTGATTGGGATGCATTACATGCAAGTATTGCTCAATGGACTGAAGAAAATGGACATTTATTACAAGCAAATAAGTAATTGAAGAA